GTTTGCAAGAGAAAAAATATTTCAAAATTAATTGGCTTACATCTTTCACAAGGCTTTCACTGAATCCAACTTTTCCTGCGATTTTCATAGCCTGCGCATCAGTTATACCTTTCTCGATATCGATCGGTTCCTAAAGATAACTTTAATTAGACAAAAAAGGAAAAAGCGGTGAAAAAGAAAAATAAAAGCGCTGCCTGATTACCATATCAAGGCATGGACCATATAATATTATCCAAAGGTCTCAAAGAAAGTGTCAGAAAAATTTACACTCACATAGAGTAGTCCCATTTCCAGTGAAAAAAGACAACTTATCCAACCAACTGACCTTGAATATCAATTCCGGCGTCTTTTTGGCAACATCTTCAATGTCCATTCCTCCGGCCGGAGATGCGACCACTACTGGGCCATTCGATTGTCTGTCCATGAGCACTGCCACGTATGCTTCTCGTTTGATTGTCACACCTTTAGCCACCATCACCTATTCAAGCAAATCATCTGTAAACAAAAACACATGTTCACAACCACAAAGTTCATCTAGATGTTTTAGGTTTAGAACATAAAAGCTATGATATAGTCATCCAAAATGCTCTATGGGAATCGTATGAATTATGAAAACTACCTTTTCCACCTTGACGCCTTCCTTGGGAGTCTGCTTGGTGACGAGATGTTTACCCACCATCTCACCTACTGCCTCTAGAGCCTGACCTCGGCTGAAACAAAATTCAACATTAAAACATCTAAATTCTGAACCAACACAGATACCTAAAAACTCATCGTAACGTATTCTTAATTATTTATTTTCACTCATCAAGAAAGGATCCTATTCTGCAAGTACGATCATGAATACTTAAGTTGCAACTATGAAACTGGAAGAACTTACTCCAATGTCACGAAAACGCCGCCCAGTCCTTCCTTTCCATTAACAAAGCGACCTTTTCCTCGACCTCCTGCGAGAATTCTGAGCCTTCACCACATACTCAATGTCACCTACAAGACCTAAAAGAGAACGAACCGTCAGTGAAAAACAGGATTAGTCTACAAAACGACAGAAAGAACCGAGTTTATGAGACACGAACCGTGAGCCTTTGTTTTCTCGTCAGCTTCCTTCCGTGAAGTTGCCACAATGAATTTTTGTACGGTGCAACCATGGTTGTCAAGCAGCTGTTTGCTTTGATACTCTTGCAAATTCAAGAACCGCAGCTGACCACCCTAAGAGAAAAAAGTAAAAAGAAAGCAAAGTAAAGGCTGTTCATGTCACAAGCATACGGTGCACTAAAATAAAAGATAAAAGCGCTAGCGATTCCCCATACACCCATCTATGAGACCGTGCCAGGGTATTCCCAAACAGATCCATACAACGAGCAAATTAGCGTGCGACATTCAGTAGTCAAGACATTTATGAGCGCTTGATGAATGTGACGGAAATTCATCATGACACTCCAGTTGAAGTCAACTCTATTTCTGCAAATCATTCGATGTCACACGTCAAACGATTTCATGTCTATCTTCGAAAGAAAATTATTGAAGAGGACAAACTGCAAAGAACACACTTGAATGGAACGGTCCTTTCCCAAAAACTCAGTCCTGATGCGATCTAATAAACGAAGCCGATGTGAGACTTTGCAAATCCAGCGATTCGCTAGCGAATCGCTAGGTACGAGCTATGCACCAGTGGTTCAAAAGATGTACCAGCGACTTGTCGTAGGCCCAGCCAATTTCAAACACTGTCGAGTCACTGGTATCTTTCGAATCGCTGGTACACCGCTCATATCGCTAGTGTATCGCTCGTACCCAGCGATTCGCAAAGTCTGACATCGGCCTGTGAGGGCGCAGACGAGCGGAAAATAGGCGCCAAACGGCCTAGCGCCGAGAATGAATGTCATATTCGTAAGCAGTACATCAAATAACCCTTATGCAGAAGTTTACACCGAAATCGATGAAAACAAGGTCGGGACAAGGTAGATGGCGATAGCGCTAAAAAAGAATGTTATTCCCGTAATCGAGGCATCGAATTACCCTTCGATGCAATGTTTCGACGAAAATAGGAGATTGAAATTTTACGTTGTAATAGTTGAATAGTACCGTAACCATTTTGGTATAGAAGCAGCGTATCATTAGTGCTTGTGGACTACTGGTGAATGAATAAAGATTGATTCTTACCTTCGTGAGCGAGTTTCGGCCCAGTAGTCGGCTAGCGCATCGCAACATCTCCCTAAACAATTATCAAGCAAAATCGCAGCTCAACTTCACGTACTCTCCATTCTCATGCACCACAAAACAGCGTATGTTATCGACAAACAATTGATTGTACGACTAAGCGTGAGCCATAAAAACACTAATATCGATTCAGTGACATAACGCGTTGCATCCACACGCGTCCTTTCTTGGTCACCTCGAATACATTTTCCGAGTGTTGCCATGTGAGCAGGACAAAAAGCGGGACTATAACATATGCAGTAGTGTAAGAGCAGGAAAACGTGGGAGCTGTGTGCTAGCAGTGTTGCACTGCTGCTTCCGTAAGGCTGGTGTCAGAGTCCGCGATCCGTCGCGCGATTCGCGCGAATCGCAAAAACTGCAAGTGCCCCATTTGAACATTTGAAACACTGAATATGAAACAAGTAGAATCATGAACAGTCGTCATTCAACCATCACCATCAAGCAGAAATGGCGGCGGGATTGGAGAGCACCTCGCAGTATTGATCGGGCACTTGTGATTTGTTGCGCGATTCGCGCGACGGATCGCGGACTCTGTCACTAGCCTAAAGTTTTCCAATGAGAAGGTCGGGCATGTCTAACACACATGTGCAATACAAAAACCTAGGGGAAGTATATTGTCAGAAAGCCGCTTAGAAAGAACAAAAAGGAATGTATTGCAATGGAAGTGACAGATTATGATACTAGGCGCTCATGTCCTCTAGAGGACATTCAAAACAGGCCGATGTAAGTGACAGCAGGACTAAGCGCAGGAAAGAGGAAAAACACCAGAAGATAGCTCACGATTTACTCACATCTCCCACAGAATCCCTTTCCCGCCCTAGGGCTTGCTTCCAAGCACAATAATTGACTCACTCACATGAATGTCCCCTTCAACGACGTGAGCGCTCAATACTAACTCACAGGAGGTAGAAAGGCACCGTTCCAGGCGGTCCAAGTGTCAAATCAATAACTTCTTTCTTCTACACAGGGACTTGAGAAAATTCGCACTGCATAGGATAGAATTCCGTCCGGGCTAGTGAAGATTCTATCCCCTCTGTATCGGTCAATTGACACTAGACTCGTTTGTGACCGGATGAGCACGGAGTTTCGTCGGTAGGCCTCTGCACGTCATCCATTACGTTTTGCACGTACGCATCCTGCGTTGTTGCACGAACAAAACGTCTCCCTCTACGTTACACCCTTGCCTTTCCGTTGTTGAACGAGCATACGGTATCGAAGGAGTTCGGGTGAGATAATTCGTTGTCGAAGCTAATCCCCACCAGGGTCAAC